TGTTCTTACATATAGAATATATATTATTTAAAATATCCATTTCTGAAACTCCCTGTGAAGCCTTTGGCAGTCAGAACTAACCACATGGAGTGGAGTTGTGTGACTTACTTGATTGTAGTTTGTTTGTTTTGTTTTCAATCTACGGTTTTTTATTGGTCCGAAGCTGCCACAGTAAAACCCGAAGAATGTCAAACTAACTAATGTCAAATAACAACAACATATACTGAATCTTACATACAGTTACTGAACGTGCACCAACTATAACGGCCATCGGAGGGCGACACAGAGCACATTCATAACCTTGCAGGAGCAGTCGTGTTGCGTTAATAATTCAAGTTAAGACGTTAATGGGAGAGTGACGGCGGCTAATTAGAAAACTGTGCTCATGACGAACACCTGCAGCAAAATACCCTTTAATTCATTTATTTATGAGGTCTGTTTAACAGAACTAATACGACTAAGTATTAAAAGAACTGACCTCACATTTCCTTCTTTCCCATTAGGAAATAAAATCGAGCGTCTACAAATAACTCTATAAAAAATATTTTACAAATAATAAAATATAATATCAAATGTCAGAAGGTAAATGTATATTTTAAAACACAGTGCGCAAATTACAGTGCGCAAATATTTTATGTAAAAAAAAAATATTATGTCTGTTACAGTGTGCAAATATTTTATGTAAAATATGAAGTTTTGACTCAGAAACCTGACTTCAGTCCAAACTAGAACGTTTTAGATGATCCAGAAACCTGAATAGAAGCCAGGCTCAGAATATGTTCCTGCGAACAACAGTTTTGGTAACATTTGTTCATTAAATTCAAGGAGAATGAAAAGTAGACGGGGAAATTGAATTTGCAATAAAAAGATCGGGTTTCCTGTAATTATCTTCTCGTGGCACATATTTGGCCGGGGATTTTTAATTTCTAATCAATTAAATCTCATTTCTCTGCCACTTTCCGTCTCGCTGTGATTATGGACGGAGAGGGACTGGGGGAGTTGATTAGCCCACTTTGCCCCTGTTTGCCTGGGTCGACCCTATCCTCTAATCACAATGTCCTTGACGGAAATATCTGTTTTGTAGCTTTCATTTATTTATTTATTGTCAATTAATTCACTGCTGTTTTGCTGACTGTTTAATGCATCTCCACTGTGGGGCGCTGTGTCCCTTTATCTCCTCTGTCTCGCTCTTTCATTTCTCGCTTTTTCTTTTTTTGTCCTTTTTCTTGTCTTACTCTATGTCTCTCTCTCTCTCTGACATATAGCAGCATATACAGCGGCTGCTCTTGCTGCTGCTCATGTTAAAGGCATGCTGGGAAATCAGAATGGGTGGAACTGATGCTGCGTGGCCCCTGTGTTCCCTGGTCTAAAATGACCATCTGGGTGGGGGAGGTAGAGTGTAGGTGGTGCACAGGCCAGTGTGTGTTCAAATGTGTATTTAAGTGTGTGTTCTGATGCCACAGCTGAACCTGCTTTATTTCTCATGTATTTTACAATAGGGAAAAAAAAAAGATTCTGCAGCGTACAGGTGTGTGGTAGAAATTGGGACATGAGTTCGTTAGTGTGGGGGAGTCACTTGGTCTCCATGCATATGCAATTATCCTCTCCTCTGTAGCTGGCACTTGAGCTGGAATTAAAAAGGATGCTGGAACTCCAAATTAGCAACCGCACGGCACGCAGCTTTTATGGACCTGCAGTGTTTTTGTCTAGTTTATGAAGATTGATGGCCAAAAACAAATACATGACCAACAATTATGGAATTTAATTTGTGCACACTCACCCCTGTAAGTGGATGGAGCCGAGTCTTATCTGCCTTTTCCTTGAACCTTTTGCACTGGGCCAATCTTGGTACTTCTGTAAACCATAAAGTAAAGAAACAAATGACATGCGGTAGCAAATCTTTATCTTTAGTATTAAGATAAAGAGATAAGAGATATGCTTATATGTCATTCAAAATGATCATAAAAACATTTCAATCTATATTTGAGAGCTGACCGTATGCATTAAAAATTAAGGACTAATAAAAAAGGAATAATAAAATCAAACACATGCTTATGTATATCAAAGTTCCTGGATTGTCTTCACAAAAAAAAAACAAAACAAAAACAAAACATTTATTTGGATGATGCTGACATCATCGCAGTGTTCCTCCTGTTACATCAGTTCAGGAGTCAGAAAAGTCAACAAAGAAACAAAGATTCAGCTCAGAGTCGACTGTGAAAACTGAAGCGCTGTGTTTGTTAAACAGTAGGATATTTTACCCTGTGTTTATTTTGCAAACTATTCCTCCTCTTCACTACCATGTGGTTCACAGTGGGGGCCATCACTAGCCCTGTAAGTAAGTTTAGGAAAAAGCTAGCGTACCCTGAAAAAGCTGATGGTTAATCCCACACAGTCATGGCCACATATGGAGAGAGAACGAATTAAAAACACATTAATATGTATTTACCCTGATCTCCGATCTCCATGTGTTACAGGTGTGAGGTGTTCACTGTCACAGAGCAGTCATCTGATCTGTGACATCATTAAAAGCTAACTATAAAAATACAACAGAACAAAAAGTATATATACTTATATCAAATCATATTTTACCCTTAACTACACATAATGAGTATAAAACATATCATTTAGAGTTATTGTGTTGAGTTGTAAACCAGACTGAGGCAACAGCACCACCCATCATTCCTGTGACCCACCAGAGCTTCACACTGTTGTCTTTAATTTCTAATTCTAAAAGTTTATGGTCTTTGGAGTCTTACAGTATGAGTTCAACGCAGTGGTCAGACTCGCTAAATTCGACAAATGCACGGCCAGTAATTCTCAACTCTAATTCTCTATTCCCAGTTCTAATTAAGAGTTAGTTAAAGCACGTTTATCAAAAACTACATCTCCTATAATAGCCGTTGACTTGTGACTCACTTCCCGGCAGGCTGTTCAAGCATGAGACAAAAGGACAAAACTATTCACCAAATGTTAATCCTGTTTGGCCGACAAATAGGAGCGTGATTTAAATTTCAACCCCTTGAGTGATTGAGTTCGACAGCCCAATGACTGAACGCTCGTTGTTCTCTGTGCGTGGTCACGCGATGGACTGGAGAGCCGCCCAGGGTTTACTACAGGGATTAGCTCGGACTCCCACCGCAGCCATGATAAGAATTAAGCAGCAGACGATTAATTAATTAATTAGTAATTTTTGTTTGTTTGTTTGTTTTATTTATTCACTTATTTACTCGTGTATTTCTGGTCCCTCCTTCCTGACGTTGTAGATCAAACTAAAATAATTAGCCTTTCATTGGGTATTCATGAATGATTGAGCTATTCTTTTGCCTGCACTGATGCAAATGATGACTAATTGCTTCACAAAAATGGATGATGGAATAATGAATTTAAGCAACAATTTATCTCCGCCTGCCACGTGTCGATATTTTAGAAATCTTGGTGTTCATGAATAGTTTATGTTAACGTGCAATAGTCTGTGTGGGGCCTGGGACCTGAAAATCTTGAGGGGTCGATATAAAAAAAAAGGAGTCATCAAAAACATAAATGAAGTTGCTTTAGGTTTTATTCAATAAGTGACCAACATCATTTATTTCCTCTTTTCTTCTACAAAATCTACAGCCTGAGTTAAATTAGATTTTTTTTTTCTGATGCTTGTCTCCTTTGTTGTAAAGCCTCTCACTGACTCCAGTGAATCATGTCGCAATTTGCTGCCGGCGATTTCATCATTAAAACTTTTTTGCACAACTCTATGATGCCACAACTTTTTCCTGATAGGGCCTTTCTTGAGTGTGTGAAGAGAAAATTAGTTCAGGAGCCAGTAAGCAGCCAGAGAGAAGCAGAAATGATATTCCGGAGGCTTCTGCCAAACACAGATCTACAGCTTGTAAAGTCGCGATGACTGGAGGAAAAAATCAGACGAGGGTATTTTAGCCCGTGGCGGTCTGAATAATTCAATGATGCAATCAGAAATAACCCATCACTGGTAGGTTTTTGCATAGGGACGGTGCTGTTTCCGCCATGTAAGCAGAAACAGCTATTTCCTGATGGTGGCATAAATCTACTGGGGATACAAAAGGATTTCAGGTTGTTTTATTACCTCTCTATTTTTGCTTTATTTCATAATGGAGCTCCGACTTGAAAAGCAGTGGTTCTTAAGCTGCGGCAGCAGCAAAATAACAGAGCAACGCAAATGAAAGCAGACAGAAGATCTCAACAGCTCCCCGTCCTCCTTTTATTTTAATGAAATTTGGAGAAACTCATCCACTATCTAAACTGAATCATCCATCAGTGGGTTGCCAGCGTATGCTTTAAAGTACCTGTGGGCATCAATAAATTCATCATGGTTTCTTTGATGCCAGTTGTACTCTTGATTTATTTATTGAGCCTTGGGGAGATTCTCACGTTAGAGTTTAAACACTAACCCAAGAAAATGTCTATATAAACTGTTTAACTTCATTAAAGGGCTGATAATGGCCAAAAAACGAAGAAAAATCACATCGACTGTAGTACCGACTCTCAGAGTGAACTTTATTTTTGGTTCCTATGTGTGTACTGATAGGAAAATAAGCATTATTTTGTTTTCCTGCTCATTAAAAGTCCGCCTTGACTTTAGACACTATGAAGAAAAATAATAATCTTCAACTGACTCTGAAAATACATACCATCACGTAAGAATATAGTAAAATATTCAATTGATGACACATGATGCTGCTTCTACTAATGTCGGTAATGTTGATATTTTGGAGATGAGTTCCGATTAGTTGCTTTTTTTAAAATCAGTTCAAATAAATCAACGTTGCATCATTTTATTTTTTCCTTCATGAGGAGCAATTCCCAAATGAGTGTCTTAGATGTAACACAAGACCAAAGGTCTAAAAGTAAGTCATTGTAATAATGATAACAGCATATGACCAGAGAAGCTTAATACAGTAGGAAGGTCAGAGACTGTCTAAAAAAGGGGTTCTCAAACTATGGTAAGCATATTAGTGGTGGTACTTGGGCTCCCTTTAGTGGTACAATAGTCTACTATAAAAAAAAACTGTTCAAATGCCACAGTGCGTCGCAACAACATCTGAAAATAAAGATTTCAGTGTGGTCTTCTGAAATACTTCTCCAGTCTTTGATCACAAATTCTACAACTAATTTGAATTGTTTTAATGGTTAACCATTTAGCCATTTTCCACTCTGCGTCTAGAGATACTTTCCTTCTTCTTTTTCATGGAGAATAACTACTTCTAAACCAGGGATAGTCAATTATAAATTCAGTTGGGCCAGATTTAAACCTTTTATGCGGTTAATACATTTTGAACTAAAACATGCAATTGAAAACATATATGGAAAAACACTGATTGCACTGAGGGCTGCATGTTGCTAATGTGTGTTCTATTTATGGTCTGTTCTACTGTAGGAATTTTTCCTTGTGTTCCAATTGTGATTTTGTACAATTGGCAAATGACACACTGGACCACTCTGATTGTGTCTAGGCCTCACGTGGTCCATGAACCCCTATTTGATTATAAACAACGGAAATATACAGCTTGAGCTTAATACAATTGCCTTTTCAGGCCTATGTCTTTCTAAAAGACAGAATTTTACAAGAGTAAAATGATATGATAAACACAAGGGCAGGTCATAAAAACCAATGATCGGTATCTGAGTCTGGCTCTGGTGAGAATTTGAAACAAAGAAAATAGAGCAATGATCCACAACTGAATCTTAGAATAGTTGCCTCCCCCACTGCACCCCCTTCACTTTATCCATCACCTGTTCACCAAAGCCTTATCAGAAGTGCTCTAAACAAAAGGGTTGCAGCTGTAAAAAAAAAAACAAAAAAACACATGGGCTCTGTAATGATTTTGGACTGTGTTTCAGCTGCTGTTGGTCAGAACTGATGGGACCATGAATGCCAAGAAGTATTGTTGGATACTGATAAAACGTGTAGCGCTATCGGGGAAGAACAGCAGTCGGTGTCTGATTGGCCTCCACAAAGCTTAGAACTCAATAGCATTGATTTAGTTTGGACTCACCTGGACAGGCAGAAGGTCAAGAAGCAACCAAGCCATTAATAACAGCTTGGGGGTGAAGTCGGGGGTTCTGAGAACACTGGAAAAGGAGCAGAATATTTTACTTAAATGCAACTTTTTTTTATTGTATTGGAAAAAAAACCATGAGGTTAAGCTAATAATTAAAGGCAAGTACATTAGGGTCACAGAGAGTTTTTCTGATTGGTTTCATAGTTTTGTGTAGTGCAGTGATTTACCTGTTGACAAATGTGTTGATTAATCGTTCGCCAAATATCTTCTGCTTGATGTTTATTTTTACCTTCTCTTATCACCGCTAGTCACATGAGGACAATGATGTTTCTGTGAAATAAGCACAGAGTTATTCTGGCTGGGTTCAGTGTTAAATCAGTGATTCTTATGGGGGCACTTTTCCTGACAGCACATTCGGATCTGCAGCTATCTTATTGCGTCAACCTTTAAAGCCGAGTTGTTTCTGCAAGTCCTGATTCTAAATGTCTGTGACTTAAAGCCTTTTTGTCATCTGCAGAAATAAAAAAAAAATGTATAAAAACTCTTGCACTCTGCACAGCACTTTCCCCACTCTGTGACAAATTGATTACAAAATAAATACATTCTAAAAGACAAAATTCCAAAATGATCCACAAACTGAACATTTTTTTTTTTGGGTGTCTCTTAAGTCGAAACTCCAGTTCTGTCTGAACGACCTCGTATGCTCTCTCTTTTTCTCAGTTTACCACTTGAATGTTGAACCATTAGCATCACAAAGTGTTACTTTGACAGACAACAGGCAGACAGTATCTTCAAAGTCGCACACAGCGTAAATTGAACTCCAGGATTTCTGAAGATTTTTGATGACTTATAAGTATTTAATACTGACATTATCCCAGCAGCACTCTTGAACTTGCTCAGCCCGACTCTTGTAGTGTGAGTCACTGGCTGTCATTAGGCAACACGCTGCTCACAATGTTCCCACCCACTCGCAAAACCTACTTTGTGCAAGGAGACAGGCTCGGGTACAAGTCAGTCAGCCGTCAGAATGGGTTTTGAAGCAGTTTTTTTAATGGTAAGGAAGTTGCATAATGCTGCCAGCACATATATAAAGTTGCATATGGATATTGTCAGCAGCACTGCAGCAGACATTTGAATATAGGGTTGGTGGTACTGCATCAATTCACTCTTAATTTAAGGTTTCTATAGCCTGTTAAAGATGGTATTTATGCATTTTGGAATATCGTAAACAACTCACTGAAAAACATTTCTCTTGGATTTTGGACCATTTAAAATGATAGCTTCATACATTTGCTATAAATGTGGCTGCTGAAAACTCATGATTCCAACACAGTAAACTTGGTTAACTTGTCATGTTGACGACATTGTCACAAACCTGACAATATTGGGAAATGGTGCGCTATCCCGAGGAACCTTGAAGGATTTGTATGGTCTGGTCATAAAAGAATGGAAATGGTAACAAACAACCGTGTCCACAAGATTCCACGACTCAAAAAATGTGCCAAAAAACAATACCTATAATCACCTGAGGCCTGGACTGTTGACACTCGTGCCCTCATTGTTTCCCACATTGTTTCTGACCCAAGAATGTAAATGTTCTAGAAGAAACTTTTACTTGTTTAATTTATCCAGCCTTAGAAAGAGCATCCCGTTAGCGTTCAAACACTAATTCTAGAAAATATAAAGACACTAATTGTTAAACTTTATTAAAGGCCTGGAAATTATCAAAAACTGGGCAACCACACTGTAAATCTTGACTCGCAGAGTGACCTTAAATTTAAGTTTCCATATACTGTAATACCGAAAGACAAAACAATCACTGATAGAAAATGGCATTATTTCCATTTGTGCTCATTAAAAGTCTGCCTTGTCTTTAAAAAGTATGTAGAATCATAACAAGCTGAAGCTGAGTCATGAAATATAGATAAAAGCTTGTCAGCATATGGTAAAATATTCAATTCACAACATATCAAACTACTTTTATCGACTTCTGGTGATACTGTTGAGTTGCGTTCTCATTAGGTATAACACTGCTATTCTAAAATAAATAGTTCTTATGAATCAAGTATGTATCATGATTTTATGCATTAGAAAAATACTAATTAATACTATACTAACTTACTAACTTCAATGTTTCAGAAGTAACAAAAGGGTTAAGAATAAATTGACAATAGCAAAAATAAAAAAATAAATAAAAAAATCCCCTCCGAGATCAACTTTAAATTGAGGGCAGGATGGAATCATGCTCTTGAGTTTTCAGAGCAAAATTATGACCCAAAAAAATGTTGCGTAAGAACATTCTGTGATCCAATTTTGGTGAACCCTTTGTGGAGTTTAGACACATGCTCTAGTCCTGGGGTGGACTGAGACTGCTGTAGTCCTGGGTTGGAAAGAGACTGCTGTAGTCCTGGGGTGGACTGAGACTGCTGTAGTCCATCAATTGTCCATTCGAAAATACTTTTTATATGTTGGTTGGAAGGATAGGTTATTTTTTCTGTTACCATTCTCTTGCTTTAAACCAGTCTAGTCCCTGACTGACGTGTTTGTTTTTTACTGGAAACTTTTGGACCATTCTCCACAAACTCAAGGGATTATTGTGTGGGATAATCCCAGTAGATCAACAGTCTACTGGGACTAGACTAGCTGTCTGAAACATCCATGACATTTGCAAATATATTTGAATATATTCCTTATAATTTTGATGTGTACATTCCTAACTCTCTGAAATGCTGGTATCCATGATGTTGTTTCTCCTAATATCCTTTAATGATCAGTTTCACACCCATGATCCTTTCTGTAGGAGCATTTCTCTGTTGTGGTATGAAGAAAGGCAAAAAAAAAAAAATCTTTTTAGGAGTATTTCCATAGTTGCCAAAAAACATGGTTCCACTACTATTATGGCCCTCTTGTTTATTTATCTTTTTTTTCCCCCACTGTCTGGAAAAGCACTGTGATGGCAGGACCGAGTCTCTCAGAAAATACAGAAAAAAACATAAGCAGCACCCTCTACTTCTCTCGGTGCTCCACACGAGCTAAATTACATGTCATTGCAGTCCAGTTTCATCAAAGCCTCTTGGTTTTTTTGCCCCTTCTCACTTGTTTAGACTGCATGCTACCATCTCTCACAAAACAGCCTGAATTTTGCAGGAGAGCCAGGATGCCTCCAGTGCTTCACAGCAGCATTTGAAGATGGCAGCTCCTATTTCTTTCTGTCACTTGAGAGGCTGGGGACCCTTTCCTGCTATTCAAGGGCATAACATCCCTCTACAGACTGGAGAATGCTGAGGATGAAAGTATTTACTGTTGTTTTGTAGGAAAGTTAATTTAATATTTCTATGGACAAATTACTTTGGCAGATTTTAAAAAAAAAACAACTAATGTACACGCTCTAGCCCAGTAGATGGCACTATTGAAAGATACACAGGTTGCATTGAGTGACATAAGGATACAAAAACTTCTATGTTATCTTGAATAAGAACATGGTATTGTGCAAATTTATGTTTGTAATTGCTTCCATTGGCTATAAAAGACTTGTCTCTGCTAACCGCTGACTCATGGAAACTTGCTGTAGACAACTCAATGACTTACACAAGCAGTAATTGGGTCGTGTCATAACTGTGTTC